TGACGAGTGAGGTGTGAGGGGTGTTGACGAGTGAGGTGTGAGGGGGTTGTTGACGAGTGAGGTGTGAGGGGTGTAGACGAGTGAGGTGTGAGGGGTGTAGACGAGTGAGGTGTGAGGGGAGTTGACGAGTGAGGTGTGAGGGGTGTAGACGAGTGAGGTGTGAGGGGTGTTGACGAGTGAGGTGTGAGGGGTGTTGACGAGTGAGGTGTGAGGGGTGTTGACGAGTGAGGTGTGAGGGGAGTTGACGAGTGAGGTGGAGGGGTGTTGACGAGTGAGGTGTGAGGGGAGTTGACGAGTGAGGTGTGAGGGGTGTAGACGAGTGAGGTGTGAGGGGAGTTTGACGAGTGAGGGGTGGTAGACGAGTGAGGTGTGAGGGGAGTTGACGAGTGAGGTGTGAGGGGTGTTGACGAGTGAGGTGTGAGGGGAGTTGACGTGTGAGGGGTGTTGACGAGTGAGGTGTGAGGGGAGTTGACGAGTGAGGTGTGAGGGGTGTTGACGAGTGAGGTGTGAGGGGAGTTGACGAGTGAGGTGTGAGGGGTGTTGACGAGTGAGGTGTGAGGGGTGTTGACCAGTGAGGTGTGAGGGGTGTACACTAGTGAGGTGTGAGGGGAGTTGACGAGTGAGGTGTGAGGGGTGTAGACGAGTGAGGTGTGAGGGGAGTTGACGAGTGAGGTGTGAGGGGAGTTGACGAGTGAGGTGTGAGGGGTGTAGACGAGTGAGGTGTGAGGGGTGTAGACGAGTGAGGTGTGAGGGGAGTTGACGAGTGAGGTGTGAGGGGAGTTGACGAGTGAGGTGTGAGGGGTGTTGACGAGTGAGGTGTGAGGGGAGTTGACGAGTGAGGTGTGAGGGGTGTTGACGAGTGAGGTGTGAGGGGTGTTGACCAGTGAGGTGTGAGGGGTGTAGACGAGTGAGGTGTGAGGGGTGTAGACGAGTGAGGTGTGAGGGGTGTTGACCAGTGAGGTGTGAGAGGTGTAGACGAGTGAGGTGTGAGGGGTGTAGACGAGTGAGGTGTGAGGGGTGTAGACGGGTGAGGTGTGAGGGGTGTAGACGAGTGAGGTGTGAGGGGTGTAGACGAGTGAGGTGTGAGGGGTGTAGACGAGTGAGGTGTGAGGGGTGTTGACCAGTGAGGTGTGAGGGGTGTACACTAGTGAGGTGTGAGGGGTGTAGACGAGTGAGGTGTGAGGGGTGTTGACCAGTGAGGTGTGAGGGGTGTAGACGAGTGAGGTGTGAGGGGTGTAGACGAGTGAGGTGTGAGGGGTGTAGACGGGTGAGGTGTGAGGGGTGTAGACGGGTTAGGTGTGAGGGGAGTTGACGAGTGAGGTGTGAGGGGTGTAGACGAGTGAGGTGTGAGGGGTGTTGACCAGTGAGGTGTGAGGGGTGTACACTAGTGAGGTGTGAGGGGTGTAGACGAGTGAGGTGTGAGGGGTGTTGACCAGTGAGGTGTGAGGGGTGTACACTAGTGAGGTGTGAGGGGTGTAGACGAGTGAGGTGTGAGGGGTGTACACTAGTGAGGTGTGAGGGGTGTAGACGGGTGAGGTGTGAGGAGAAGGATGAGGGGTGAGGGGATGCAGCTAAAGGCTCACCTTACATTTGTCAGCATAAAGCTACATCTACCAATCTTTCGACCATTTTACAAGTTTATTTATATCATCCTGAAGTGAGTTTGATCTTCGTTGAATTTCTTTCCTGTCCAATGTTCGTAGAGTCTGCAAATATGGCTGCCAGATCCCGAGTCTAAATCGTTGACATATACGGTAAACAACGGAGGGCCCAGAACAGAGCCTTGAGGCACTCCTCTTGTAACTGTTTCCCCACTCTGACTTAACACCATTTATAATGACTTGGTTTGCTGTGATATAACCATGCTCTTATCCAACTCAAGTTAGCACTGCCCCCACTTAATACCGTGAGTCTCTATCTGTCTTAACAGATAGAGCCTCCATCTGTCTCTATCTGCCTCTATCTTTCGTGTGTGGCACCGTATCAAAAGCTTTGCTAAAGTCAAAGCACCCAACGTCCCAAACAATTCTTTCCACTGTCAACTGCTTCAAATATGATGGAATATAATGAAGGCAAATTAGTCAAATGTGAGAGATTTCTTTTGTACAACAATGTTGTGGTAAATTTACTAATCGACGTTTTTCAAGATGAAAACTTTTTTTGGGATTAGCGATTCAAGCAATTGTCTCCGAAATAGACGATAGGGAAGAGCTGAGAGAGCCGTGGGGTTGAGGGGGCAGCAGAGACGCTCCTGCTAGATGTAAGGAATCCAGAGCAATTAATCGAGAGAATTTTCCATTAAATTGTGGGTACTCACCTTATAATGCTTGCGGGGGGTGGGGGGGGGGGATGGAATGAGCTTCAGCTCTTTGGTCCCGAGTTACTGTCTTCAGTCAACTAATGAAGAGGTTCGCCAGCTTATTAGGCGGTAGTAGTTGCAATTCAAATTGCGTATTTAGAGCCTGTTTCCATCACTTCGCTTCTTAGCGTATTCTATTTAACTATTTTGACACTAAACAACTTCGTATTAACGTCTCTGTGGCTCATTTGGGTACTCAGTCCCCGCCATTTTCCCCCCATGTTCCCCTTCTGTGAGTACCACTCGTGCTAAATTGTCTGACCTTGTGTGCCATGTCAGTTCACTCAGACTCTTCTGTCTTCCAGCGGCGTGAGACTTATTCCCTAAAGCCTTTCCTCGTAGCTCATACCTCGTAGTTCTGTGTGTGTGTGTGTGTGTGTGTGTGTGTGTGTGTGTGTGTGTGTGTGTGTGTGTGTGTGTGTGTGTGTGTGTGTTACTCACCTATATGTACTCACCTATATGTGCTTGCAGGAACGAGCATTGACTCTTGGATCCCGCCTTTCTAGCTATCGGTTGTTTACAGCAATGACTCCTGTCCCATTTCCCTATCATACCTAGTTTTAAAAGTATGAATAGTATTTGCTTCCACAACCTGTTCCCCAAGTGCATTCCATTTTTCTACTACTCTCACGCTAAAAGAAAACTTCCTAACATCTCTGTGACTCATCTGAGTTTCCAGTTTCCACCCATGTCCCCTCGTTCTGTTATTATTACGTGTGAACATTTCATCTATTTCCACTTTATCAATTCCCCTGAGTATTTTATATGTCCCTATCATATCTCCTCTCTCCCTTCTTTTCTCTAGTGTCGTTAGGTTCAGTTCCTTCAGCCGCTCTTCATATCCCATCCCTCGTAACTCTGGGACAAGCCTCGTCGCAAACCTCTGAACCTTCTCCAGTTTCTTTATGTGTTTCTTCAGGTGGGGGCTCCATGATGGCGCGGCATACTCTAAGACGGGTCTCACGTAGGCAGTGTAAAGTGCCCTAAAAGCTTCCTCATTTAGGTTTCTGAATGAAGTTCTAATTTTCGCCAGTGTAGAGTACGCTGCTGTCGTTATCCTATTTATATGTGCCTCAGGAGTTAGATTAGGTGTCACATCCACTCCCAGGTCTCTTTCTCGAATCGTTACAGGTAGGCTGTTCCCCTTCATTGTGTACTGTCCCTTTGGTCTCCTGTCACCTGATCCCATTTCCATAACTTTACATTTACTGGTGTTAAACTCCAGTAGCCATTTCCCTGACCATCTCTGCAGCCTGTTTAAGTCCTCTTGGAGGATCCTACAATCCTCGTCTGTCACAACTCTTCTCATTAATTTTGCGTCATCTGCAACATTGACATGTATGATTCCACTCCTGTAAACATATCATTTACGTAAATTAGAAAGAGGATTGGTCCCAGCACCGATCCTTGAGGTACTCCACTTGTTACTGTTCGCCAGTCCGACTTTTCGCCCCTTACCATTACCCTCTGGCTCCTTCCTGTTAGGTAGTTCTTCACCCATACTAGGGCCTTTCCGCTTACTCCTGCCTGCCTCTCAAGTTTGTGTGTGTGTGTGTGTGTGTGTGTGTGTGTGTGTGTGTGTGTGTGTATTCACCTAGTTGTGTTTGCGGGGGTTGAGCTTTGCTCTTTTGGCCCGCCTCTCAACTGTCAATCAACTGTTTACTAACTAGATTTTTTCCACACCACACACACACACACTCACCCCAGGAAACAGCCCGTGACAGCTGACTAACTCTCAGGTACCTATATACTGCTAGGTAACAGGGGCATTCAGGGTGAAAGAAACTTTGCCCATTTGTTTCTGCCTGGTGCGGGAATCGAACCCGCGCCACAGAATTACGAGTTCTGCACGCTATCCACCAGGCTACCAGGCCCCCTACCAGGGCGTGTGTGTGTGTGTGTGTGTGTGTGTGTGTGTGTGTGCGTGATTCAGCGCACCATGTGTTCGTACCCGCTTGCATGCACTTGAAACAACACATTAAAAGTCAGTATGTGACGAGAAATCTTTCCTGGCCACCAGGACCCTGGAAACCTAGGAAGCCAAAACCAGCCTCGAACCCTATTGGTCTGCTCCTGCGCCCCCCCCCCCCAGGCCGTTGGTCCTCCTTATCGCTACGGTACTTACAGTCCTATTAAACCCGGCTTTGGCATTGTGGTAGCCACATAAAGAACCCAGGAAATGCTCACGTTCGAGCTCTACAACGTCATTCCTTGACCCAAATACATCCTGGGCCAGTAGATTTCCTGTCGCAACAATCATCATGTTGGACTTAAATGTGGAAGAGAGAGAGAGAGAGACAGAGACAGAGAGAGAGAGAGAGAGAGAGAGAGAGAGAGAGAGAGAGAGAGAGAGAGAGAGAGAGAGAGAGAGAGAGAGAGAGAGAGAGAGAGAGAGAGAGAGAGAGAGAGGGGGGGGGGGGCAGAAACGATATCTGCCCCCCTCCTCTCTCGATATCCAGGTTAGGTCGATATCCAGGTATATAGCTAGTCAAACAGATAGTCATAGGAAAAAGACAGCCTGCCAGGCAGACAAAAGCCTGGAGTGGTTTGTTTACATTCCCAAATGAGTTAGTGCTTGCATGATACAAGCACACATACGTGACAATTACATTTACTCATCCTCATTCACCTCGTCATCTAGATGATGATGATGATGATGATGATGAGCACAATGAGTCGGCATCTCTGGATCGGGACAATATGGCGCCGAAGAAGGAAACTGACTACTCTGGATTGCACAATGAGTTCCTCCCTTCCCATGGATCACAGGGGATTGAACTCGGAGTTGTAAAATACGAGGACCATCTTGCGATTGTTTCAGCCTTATTAATGAATGATTTCACAGAAAAAATAATCATGGATTTTATGTTTGTGTTGAGATTTCAGGGCACAGAATAACTTGTGATTATTGGTATCTACGCCAAGGAACAATTCGTCAATTGTGAACTTGTTTTGGGTAAGACTTAAGACTTATTTTTAAACTTTTACGTTGCAAATTAGGGCAACATAGTGAAGTGAGGTTAGGTCGCCTCCACTTGCAGGGAAGCCCAACGACTTGGGCTGGATGGTAGAGCGACGGTCTCGCTTCATGCAGGTCGGCGTTCAATCCCCGACCGTCCAAGTGGTTGCGCACCATTCCTTAATCCCAAAATCCTTATCCAGACCCCCCCCCCCTTTCCCAGTGCAATTAGGTCGTAATAGTTTGGCGCGTTCACCCCTGATAGTTCCCTTCACCTTGCAGGAAAGTCAGTCACACACACACACACAAGCGCGCGCGCACACACACACGCGCGCACGCACACACACACACACACACACACACACACACACACACACACACACACACACACACACACACACACACACACACACACACACACACACACACACACACACGTATACACACACACAATTAGGAAGTGATGTGGTGGAGGCTGACTCCATACACAGTTTCAAGTGTAGATATGAGAGAGCCCAATAGGCTCAGGAATCTGTACACCTGTTGATTGACGGTTGAGAGGCGGGACCAAAGAGCCAGAGCTCAACCCCCGCAAACACAACTAGGTGAGTACACACACACACACACACACACACACACACACACACACACACACACACACACACACACACACACGCACACACACACACACACACACATTTTGATGACTGTTTATAGTGGAGAAAAGCTTGGTGCGAGTCTCAGATTGCAACCACCACCACCACTCACGTTGCTACGCCGTCAGCTGCAACACCTCATAAACCAAGTCCGTTCTCTCATATTTGCCACTCTGCAAAACCTGCAACTGTTTTGCCTCTTGAGAAACGCCCGAACCTAACCTACCCATCTAATCTATCGATTTCGTTACATAAACGTCAGTTTTTACGGTGCTTTAATATTTTTTTGGAACTAATCCATCGCATTGCTTACGTATTAGTCGATTCCTTAAAATATACGACTTCTTTAGAGATGAGATGGACGGGTTGTATATAAACATCAGAGTCAAGTCGATCCATCTATTCCCCCTCCCCCCCCCCCACACACCCGTCCCTTCCATCCTTCACGGGACGGTGGATATGGTCACTGTCCACATACTCGTCTCAACTAATAGGTCTTAATTTTAACGGAATCGGCCATTCGGTTTAAAAAAAAAAGGAGTTAGTAGTTAGTAACAGTTGATTGATTGACAGTTGTGAGGCGGGCCGAAAGAGCTCAAGAGCTCAAGCACAACTAGGGGAATACACACACACACACACACACACACACACACACACAGCAGTAGCAGCAGTTCCCTGGCAGTATGATGCAAAAAATTATGAGGAGGAGTGAAACTGAGGACGATAGTAAGAGGCTACAAGATGACCTAGACAGACAGAGTGAATGGTCCAACAAATGGCTGTTGAAGTTCAACCCGAGTAAATGCAAAGTAATGAAACTAGGCCGTGGAAACAGGAGGCCAGACTCAGGATACAGAATAGGAGATGAAGTACTTAATGAAACGGACAGAAAGAAAGATCTAGGAGTTGATATCACACCAAACCTGTCTCCTGAAGCCCACATAAAGAAGTAAGCAACAAGAAAGACACAAAAGCAACAAGAAGTTTATATAATGGATGATGCAGATATTCCAGCAAAGAAAACGAGGAAACAAAATCACCGATGAGAAAGAAAATGGGATGAGCAAAAATTGGGTACCCTGGTTATTAACCAATTGATGGGTCGTGTTTTAAGGAAAACGAGTAGATTTTAAGGCTTATCATGAGCTAAGGGAAGGTAAAGCCTTCATAGCCTGTTAGTAGGTATAACAAGTTGTTTGTTCCTGTACCTACCTGTGCAAACAACTGATACTGTATCTCTGTGCACCTATTCAATCCAGCCAAAGGGGTATTAAACCACAAGGGGCGTGTCCGTTGACAACCCGTCCTCCTAAACTTCTCCCCCTCCCCAACGTCAAGAAATAGTCTTACCAAACTGCCCTTATCAGCCCTATCAAAGCACCCAAAACAGAAAACGGTAGGCGATGAGTCACAATAACGTGGCTGAAGTATGTTGACCAGACCACACACTAGAAAATGAAGGTACGACGACGTTTCGGTCCGTCCTGGACCATTCTCAAGTCGATTGTGAGAATGGACTTGAGAATGGTCCAGGACGGACCGAAACGTCGTCGTCTCTTCACTTTCTAGTGTGTGGATTGGTCAACAGAAAACGGGACATTATGTCAATTTCGCGAGCCGGTCCCAATTGTTTGAGTACTTCACTTTTTGCCCTTAGGTAAGATAAATGCCCTTAGGCATACGTCAAAATACAACGTTCTATTAGGAAGACGAGTTGGGTGAGGATACTATGGCCAGATAACGCGACGATGAACACAGAATGCAAATTTGTGCCACACTAAAAAAAAAAAAAATCTCATAAAATGTGTGGACGGAGAAAGAGCTTCCTTTATGAAATTCGAGACCCGGAAGCTCTCGTGGTGGAGGTGTGGGAGGAGAGGAACTCCTTTCCCCCCCCTCCCCGACGCTCTCACTTGGCTCTCACTTGATCCTCTCACTCTCTCACTTGACTCTCTCACTCTCTCACTTGACTCTCTCACTCTCTCACTTCTCAAAACATGTGAAGAATAAGTCATTTATATGCAGATTTCCAACCATCGTAGAGTAGACAATGTAGACTACCAACTTGTCACCACAACATTGTGTAAACTAACAACTTGTCACTACAACATTGTGTAAACTAACAACTTGTCACCACAACACTGTGTAAACTAACAACTTGTCACCACAACACTGTGTAAACTAACAACCTGTCACCACAACACTGTGTAAACTAACAACTTGTCACCACAACACTGTGTAAACTAACAACCTGTCACCACAACACTGTGTAAACTAACAACCTGTCACCACAACACTGTGTAAACTAACAACTTGTCACCACAACACTGTGTAAACTAACAACCTGTCACCACAACACTGTGTAAACTAACAACCTGTCACCACAACACTGTGTAAACTAACAACTTGTCACAACAACACCACATAAACACTAGTATAAAGCTCTAACGAGATGTTCGCCAACTCCAAGATGACCGGTATTTAATTATCTGTATAAGATAGATAGCACAATAATTATTCGTAACATTCGTCAGACCAAAGCTGGAATATGCAGCGCAAGCCTCTCAATTTGAAGACAGCTATCAATAAATTAAAAAAAAAAAAGAGTGCAGAGCTACGCTGCCAAAATAGATACCGAACAGGAAAATATGAGAAATAGACAAAAGGCACAATAGAGCGCACCGTTTTAGAAGAATGAAAGGGAAAAAGGTTTTCAAGTGCCCCAAATGACGTGAGAAGATGGATAAGGAAGATTTTTATCACTTTTTTTCAGGCAGATCCAGAGGGCACGAATTCTTTTTGACGAGAATATTTTAAAAGGAATTGTGAGAATTTTTGTTTTCTTTTGAGATGGAGGTGTCTGAAGCACTCCACGGGTGGGGGGGGGGGGGGGGGTAGGGGCGTTTTGAACAAATAACATAGAGTTATAATATAATATGTTATAACATTGATAACATAGAGTTATCTTGTAAACCAGAGACACAGGCAGTCACTCCAACACAAATGCTCCGTCTCCAAGCACTCCCAGAACCACTCCTTGAACTATCCTCCACCTCTTCCATCAACAGTTCTCAACCCCCACCCCATCTCCCTCCATCGCCCCCCCTCACCCCTACCAATGCTGCCCCATCTCTCCCCCTTCCCCCCCCCCCCACTCCCACCATCACCCATCATCATCCTCCTCCCTCCTCCCACGCTGCGGTCATAACTTCTTGTTAGTAGGTGGGAGTGCTGAGCGGCCCTTCCGTCCGCTCTTGGAGACGTATTGACCTTGTTTGACCTCGACCTACATGACTTTCACTTGTTAAAGAGGGAGAGAGAGAGAGAGAGAGAGAGAGAGAGAGAGAGAGAGAGAGAGAGAGAGAGAGAGAGAGAGAGAGAGAGAGAGAGAGAGAGAGAGAGAGAGAGAGAGAGAGAGAGAGAGAGAGAGAGAGAGAGAGAGAGAGAGAGAGAGAGAGAGAGAGAGATCCCTGAGTGACAGCCGCTACACACTGTCTGTTGAACAAGGGTCTCGGAATACCATTTCCCCCATTGTTTTTAAAGGTTAGAATCTATCCTTTTTTTCTTACTTCTGTGTACTTATTGTAGCAGACGTAGTCCATCGTAGTCATCAACCCATGTAGCTACGACCTCCTCGTAGCCACGACCTCGTAACCGTCACCACTTCGTAGCCTTATAGCTATGATCCATTCCTTTGCCCTCTGATGAGGACATTTAGAGACGATGACCTAAGAAATCATCGCTAGTTGGAATGTCTTTAAAAACCGGTTCAAACGCCTTCAATCTAAAGCATTAACGAGATCAATACAAACCTTCTCACAACTTCTTCGTTTTGTTTTAACTTCACCGCCAGAGGATTACACGATTTTCGCCAGATAAAGTTTGGCCAATAAAGGATAAGTTCATATATTGAATATTAGCGTGTGATATACCCCGCAACGGAGGACGTAATTGTTTATATATATACCTGTAAAAAAATGAAGAAAACCAACGGATTTTATATAAATGAGAACAGAAAATTATATATTTATGGAAGAGGAGGAGGAGGAGGTGGTGGGGGAAGAACATAAGAACATAAGAACAAGGTAACTGCAGAAGGCCTATTGGCCCATACGAGGCAGCTCCTATCTATAACCACCCAATCTCACTCATAGGAGGAGGAGGAGGAGGAGGAGGAGGAGGAGGAGGAGGAAGAGGAGGAGGAGGGGGAAGAGGGGGGAAGAGGAGGAGGAGAGGCCCTGTGCTTCTGATGCAGGATGCCGCCTCCTGGCTCCTCCAGCAATCGTTCATGTCTTGGAATTTAAGACAAAACCATTATAGAGCTCGAGTTGTGGTGGTAGTTGTGGTGGGTGGTTGTTGCTGTGGTGGTGGTGTTGGGGGTTGTGACGTGATTATGGTGGTGGTGGAGGTGGGTGTTGTGGTAGTGTGAGTTTTGATGGTGGTGGTGGTGTTGGGGGTTGTGGATTGTTGTAGTGATGGTGTGGGTTATGGGTTGTTGAGATGGTGGCAGTGGTGGTGGTGGTTGTGATGACAATGGTGTAGGTTGTGATAATGGTGGTAGTCATGTTGCTGGTTGTTGTGGTGTTAGTGGTAGTTGTATTTGGGTCGACGGTGATGGTAGTTGCAATGTGTGATTGTTAGCTGTTATGATAGTTGAGTTAATTGTGGATGGAAGTGTTGGAGTAACTAATGCTGATGGCGACGCTTGCCTAACAATCTCAATGCCTCGCCTACTAGCCAAGTTGTGCTGTTTTTTGCATTTTAATTTACATTTTCTGAACGTTCTAATTCTTTGTCAATCCTGACCACAAAGTTCTAAATGGAGGTGGGTTCTGCAACTTCCTCATCCAAGCCATACCTTGGAAACACAAACCGTAACTGTCTCTATTTTCCGCTTGTTACAACTTGTAATAAAGTTGTTACAGCTTGGCTTAACGTGTTTATAACGTATTAGAACATTGTTACAATTTGCTATATTGGTTGTTATAACTGGTTAAGAGGTGTTAAAGCGTGCTCGAACGTTGTACCAACGTCGTAGTTTCGGTGTGTGTTGGGCGGGTATACAAAGTACGAGTATTTCCCTACATGCTTCTGATTCCCTTGCGTCTCCATCTTCCCCTAAAATACAGACTCAATTGTTGCAAACGTCTGCTCTTTTCAAGTTTAGTTTTTGGGGTGCTGCGAATTCAAGCTCTGGCTATCGTAGACTCCGTGGATTGTCTCGGAGATGTCCTGTGAGTCTAGTTTCAGAAATGTGGTTCCAATGTTTACCAGCTCTAATTATACGTTGTTATTATGTTTACCAACTTACCATATGCAGCCAGTGTTACCTTGTTTGGCTTTTTAGCGAATTTGCTGAAAATTCCTTAGAGGCCTTTTTTTTATTCCATCTTTGCAGTCCTTATGGATGCTTTGGCTTCTTGGTTTGGCGTCGTCTTGGTCTCTTATCTTCCGTTAATATCTTACTTACGTTACACTTGCTGAGGTTGAACTCTAACAACCAGTTGTGAGCTCACTCCTAACACAGGGCATTCCTGTGACACACTACAGACCCCGGTGAAAGCATTCCTATTCAATTTGACGACGTATGCAACATCGATATGAAAGGTATAGGTGGTTGGTGGTAATCGTCTTCGTTGATTGGTGATTGGTGGGGATAGTGGCGATGGTGGTTATGGGTTTGGTGGTGATGGTGGTGATAGTGGTGATGGTGGTGATAGTGGTGATGGGTTTGGTGGTGATGGTAGCGATAGGTGGTTGTGAGAACACATTACAGCGTTCAGAAAATAATATATTAGTTTTTTCATGGCTGCATCAGCAGCGAAGAGATATCCAATAGCAACATAATGCATTGGGAATTAATTTGCACAGTCACCAGTGCTGAAATGGGAAGTATGCAAATTGCTGTAATTAGCGAGTGCCAAAGCAAGAATGTCAGGGGTGATTAGAGGTGGGGGTCAAGTGGGACTTGAGAACGACTTGGGCATCAGGAGACGCTGTTATGTCATCAAAGAGGCGCACTAATCTTGGAGAATCATTGACAGATGAAACTGTAGAGCTAAACAAATGAGTATAATCAAAGAAAAGTAAAAGCTGTCGGGTGTACCTGGGATTGGTACTGATTAGTGCTGTGATTTACAGCCATTCACCACAAGCTATTTTCAGCCACAAACCACAAGGGATCTTCAGCCCCAAACCACAAAGGATCTTCAGCCCCAAACCACAAGGGATCTTCAGCCACAAACCACAAAGGATCTTCAGCCACAAACCACAAGGGATCTTCAGCCACAAACCACAAAGGATCTTCAGCCCCAAACCACAAGGGATCTTCAGCCACAAACCACAAGGGATCTTCAGCCCCAAACCACAAGGGATCTTCAGCCACAAACCACAAGGGATCTTCAGCCCCAAACCACAAAGGATCTTCAGCCCCAAACCACAAGGGATCTTCAGCCACAAACCACAAAGGATCTTCAGCCCCAAACCACAAGGGATCTTCAGCCACAAACCACAAGGGATCTTCAGCCCCAAACCACAAGGGATCTTCAGCCCCAAACCACAAGGGATCTTCAGCCCCAAACCACAAGGGATCTTCAGCCCCAAACCACAAGGGATCTTCAGCCACAAACCACAAAGGATCTTCAGCCCCAAACCACAAAGGATCTTCAGCCCCAAACCACAAGGGATCTTCAGCCCCAAACCACAAGGGATCTTCAGCCACAAACCACAAAGGATATTCAGCCCCAAACCACAAAGGATCTTCAGCCCCAAACCACAAGGGATCTTCAGCCCCAAACCACAAGGGATCTTCAGCTCCAAACCACAAAGGATCTTCAGCCACAAACCACAAAGGATCTTCAGCCCCGAACCACAAGGAATCTTCAGCCCCAAACCACAAAGGATCTTCAGCCACCAACCACAAAGGATCTTCAGCCCCGAACCACAAGGAATCTTCAGCCCCAAACCACAAAGGATCATCAGCCACAAACCACAAGGGATCTTCAGCCACAAACCCGAAGGGATCTTCAGTCACAAACCCGAAGGGATCTTCAGTCACAAACCACAAGGGATCTTCAGTCACAAACCACAAGGAATCTTCAGCCCCAAACCACCCCATCCACTATCTGGACCGTCTACTCCGGTCCCCGCGTGACTCCAAGCTCCAGGATATTGCACCCAGCGCCTCCCTCGTCCTCTCCCAGGACCGTCCCAAGGATCAAGACATTGCATCTGCAGCTGGTGCCTCAGGCTGCAGAAGTGTTTGGAAAGGGAAAACGCGAGAGGCAAGGAAGGCCGAGGGAGGAGAAATGGGGAAAAAGAGGGAAGGAGGAGAAAGACCGTGAAGACGAAGTGAGGGATAAAGAAAGGGAAGAAAATGATTTATCAGTTAAAAAAATGACTTCAGGTCTCCATTAGAGGGACTACAGTAATTCCTTACTTTACCCCAGTTGAGTCAATGCAATGTTACTCATGTATTTTCGCTCCAGTAGTCTAGCAAGTCTATTCCCGTGACCTCGCAAGCCTCGCGGTCCTCTCCTCCGGTAGTGTAGAGGTCCTATCATTCCTTGGCCTCGCGCGAGAGCCTCATGTCGTCTCGGCGCAAGTTGGTGAATGAGTCGCTGGAGCGGGGCGGTCAATGGGTAGGTCCGCCTGGTAATGCTCGCTTAATGCTCAACTCAATTAGTAGTTGCCAGGGAACCAGGACACGTATTCGGGTCGCTCTTGAGGCCTGCGACGGAACCAGGGCACGTATTCGACTAGTTTTAAGGGTCGAAAGAGAACCAGGGGGGCATATTCGACCAGTTTTAAGGCCCGCAAGAGAACCAGGGGGGGCATATTCGACCAGTTTTAAGGCCCGCAAGAGAACCAGGGGGGCATATTTGGGCCGCTTAGGGGCACCCGAGGGAACCAAGATACATATTCAGCCACACAAGTGGAATTGGGGGAGATGTATATAGGGGATTTGTTAGTGGGGTGGGGGGTATGTTGTTGGTGGGGGGAGGGTTATGTTGGGGTGCAAGGAGTATGTGGAGATGTTTGTGGGCGTGTGGGGCATGAAGTAGTGGGGGTGTATGTGTGGGAGTGAGGGTGTGTGGGGAGGACGAGGGGATGAGGGGAGCTGGTGTCTCCAGTGTGCATGGCCATTTAGGAGGAAATTAGAACCCCTGTTGTTTAATTGAGTGGCAGTGACTACACGTAGTTGGGGCGGGATCTGGCTGCACTGTGTTGTCGGGAGGGGGGAGGGGGGGAGTGGTGGGGGGGGGAGGGTCGGGGGAAGGGGGGAGGGGAAGGGGGGAGGGGAAGGGGGGAGGGGAAGGGGGGAGGGGAAGGGGGGGATGGGGGGAGGGGGAAGGGGGAGGGGGGGTGGAATGTGGGGGAAGGGGGAGGGGGGGTGGAATGTGGGGGAAGGGGGGTTTGGAAGGCCCTATTATACCTACGAAAGTGTGGGCGTTGTTCTTCAGTCTGAGAGGCAGCTCCTTCCATATATGAGAGTTTTTGAAATAACTGAAACTCTGAGGTGGATGAAGTCCTAAGGTGGATGAAGTCCTAAGGTGGATGAAGTCCTAAGGTGGATGAAGTCCTAAGGTGGATGAAGCTCTAAGGTGGAAGGAGTGAAGTAAGTGAAGTGTTTGGAGCATGTTGAAGAGATGATTGAGCAGGCGTGAGATTCGATCCTAATCTTGAGCGGTGATAAGGATATGTCATACATTTGTCTTACACTACTGAGATTTCTAGATTGTTCACACCATCAACGGTTAGCGTGCCAAAAGGAAGCCAACCGTTGACTAACAGTTCTAGATCGGTTGCAGTGACTTCAACACATAATTACAGTTTATTGAGAGGGTGAATAGGCGTCAAATGTCCGGTTTTATGTTGAACAATAAACTTCTTACAACCCGAGTAAACATGGAATCAGAGCGGGAAGATCCTGCTTTTCACAATAACTCGAACCCCTATGACGGAATCACGGAAGTATTTGAAGGAGAAAACTCAGATATTGTGAACACTTTGCAAAGGCATTTAACAAAGGTGACTATAGAGAAATAGTCCAGAAAATAAGATCCATTGGAATAATAGATAAAGTAGAGCGATGGATATTGAATTTTCTATCAAACTGAATGCAAAGAGTAACAGTCAAACAAAATGAACATGTGAGCACTGTGAAAAGTTCTGTACCGCAAGGCACTACTGCTGTTTCTCATTCTCATGTTAGATATAGCTACTAATATAAAGCAGAGCTTCGTATCATCTTTTGCAGACGATACACAAAATCAGTATGAAAATTGCCTCTGTGAAAGACACTGAAAAACTACAAGTTGATATAAATAAAGTCTTCGTCTGGGCAGTAGAAATTTTTTTATTTGTATTTATTTATATATACGATAGTTCTTACATTCCTGTAGAGCCACTAGCACGCATAACGTTGCGGGCAGGTCCTTAATCCTAATATTCCCGGGAATACGACCCAGCCAAATCGTTTAAGAACCGGGTACCCATTTTTCTGTTGGGTAAACAGGGGGCTTCAGTTAAGGATTGATGTCCAGTAAATCCTCCCAGGCCAGGATACGAACCCCAGGCTAAAGCGCTCCCGAAACGCCAGGCGAGTGTCTTACCACTGCATCACGGGGACTTGTTGTTGTTGTTATAGATTC